GATAATGGTATACCCTCAGATAATATCATATAAAATATGTTCAGCATAGTATTGATGACTTCCCGTCATCATCAACATTCAAAGATTTGGATTGCTTGATTTACATTTAGACGGGGACTGTTTTTTTTAGGACACCCTCATTTTAAATTTTCAAAAACATTGTGTCCAGATATAAAACATATTGAGAGCTGACACTTGTGTGACCATTCAGTATTTGACACCATTTATGAATAAGTGAAAACTTTAGGATGAGTTATATCCTTATGATGACGTCAACTGAAAGGGGGTGGGTAGTGTCTCCAAAACAAGCCCTTTCAGTAAACATGAAGGGGGAGTCACTTGAACAAGCGATTATAGTTTAAAATTGCAGCTTAATATCTAAGTTTGACTTTTACCAACATACAACATGTTTTTTGCATATTTTGTTTCAATTGGTGTAGGGGGATTCCCGCCAATACACCTTGATATAAAATTGGATCAAAATCTATTAATACTTTCCTAAGTTCGCGGCTACCAAGCTTGGCATGTGCAAAACTGTTACACCTTCGCTGTGACCTTTAAAATGACCTCAAGGTCACTAAATTCAAGTAATGTCGGTAAATCTCCAATCTCCAGTCAATAAACCTTGGTACCAAATTTGAACAAAATCCATCATTTCTTTATCGAGTTCTTTCATTAAACAGAATGGGGAGTCATTTGAACAAGCGATTGTAGTTTTGAAATTGCTTTTTTGTGCAGTTTAATATCTATGTTTGATTCTAGCCGACCTCTACCAATCTCAAACATACAAAAATGTTTCTTGCATATTTTGTTTCCTGAAGTTTAATTTGTGATGCATTTTATTGCTAGTCAGTTAGGCTATTCCATTTGTCCGAACCACAACATACGGAGACAGATCATTTAGCAGACCGGGTGCTGTACTCTGGAATTGATTACCTGAAAATGTCAGAAAATCGGAAAATATCAACAGTTTCCGATCTTGACGCAAAACCATCCTCTTCAAACGAGCATTCGACTAAGCGCACACGAGCAGGACTCTGGATATGTAGCGCTATACAAATGTCTAATTCGATTTGATTTGATTTGATATACCCGTTAGAAACCCACCCCCACCCCACCCCACTTTATATTTATACATATCAAAACCTCAAAAGATATTTGCGAAAAGACATGATACAGAGGACAGTAAGAGATTTTATATCGATTATATATCAGGACGAATATCATTGTCAATTCAGATTTTTTCTTGGGTTACGCGCTAACAATCTTTATATTGGCAAAACCCTCAGACTTTTGCTGTGACCTTGAAAATTATCTCCAGGTCACTCCATTTCACTTGTGTCGGTGAATCTCGCCAATATACCTTGGTACCAAATTTGAACAAAATCCATCATTTCTTTCTTGAGTTATCGCCCTAACAAGCTTACTTGATGTATGAAATGCAACGAAAAACACACACCCGCGTATTTACGAGTGAATAAAACTGTAATTACAATTTACGTCAATATCTATTACATATTAACGCAACGAAAATTATTACAATTTACGTCAATTTATATTACAATTTGCGTAATACAATTTACGTGAATTTTTATTACAATTTACGTTTTTATTACAATTTACGTCAAGTTTATTACAATTTGCTGCAAGTATTACAATTTGCGTTTTTATTACAATTTACGTCGTAACAGAGCCGGATCATGATCATCCGATCCCGTTAGTCGCCTCTTACGACAAGCATGGGTTACTGAAGACCAATTCTAACTCGGATCTTGTTGACATGAAGAGAGGTTGATGTTTTGGCTGGGGAATTTTTTGTGGGTTATGCATAAAATATCAATGTTAATCTATATTTGCGTGTAGTTTCGTTAATGCACCAACTTTCTGTTATGGCTGAAGAACCCTTATAATACTCCCCTGAGACATCGCAATACAATCGCCTATAGCTACTGCTTACAGGGGGGCGGTGGGATAGCCTCGTGGTTAAAACGTTCGCTCGTCACGCCGAAGACTCAGGTCCGATTCCCCACAAGGGTATAATGTGTGAAGACCATTTCTGGTGTCCTCTGATATTGTTGGAATATTGCTAAAAGCGGCGTAAAACTAAACTCAATCACTCACTTACAGTGTTTTATCTTAGGCTGCTTTATCTATAGCTGTTTCTAAAATCTTTCGTTGCATGTATGCCATTGCCAGGAGAGGATTTGCAATATTTTGAATATATTTCATTCAGTGGTGAGCCGTGGTGATAAATGTTTTCGGTTGCTTCAGATGAATTAACTGTGACAATATGGTATTTAAAATCAAACTATGCTGGATGGGACAAAAGTATGTTTCATCACCAATTCTAACCCGAATCTGCACGGGTCCCATACATATTTTACTATGACAAGCATGACGCTGTCGGTTTATCGTTGTGCATAGATATTTCTTTGCGATTTCAATGTGACGTGATAATAGGAACGCCGTGTACCTCACAGCTGGTGGAGTATGTTTATGTCGTTTAAATATGAAACGATTTGGGTATTCAACGAGAAGCTCAATGTAAACCTTAACTGGATCTACGTAGTCATCCGCGAAGAACCCGGCTAGAATTGATCGTCGATCAGCAAACCATCGCAAGATAGCTTGTCCGGACAGGGTGGTCAGGCTTGCTGACTTTGTTGTTTCAAGTCGTCGTATCCCAATTGTGTAGGTCGATGTACATGATGTCAGTTATTGATTCCAATAACCTTGTGGAAAGTCGTCAAACTGTTCTCGTCTAAACAAACGCGCAATCTTAAAAATCTTGCAACGTACATTAATGTAATATTTAAGTCTACAAAGATACATTAACCTTTGGTTCTTTTTCGCTTTTATCTGCCATCTTGTCATGAATATATTTATATGACTATAGTAATATTGTATTCTCATGTACCACCGTTTGTGGTGTTTTGAGTAATAAATTGAATTGAATTGAATTGATTTGTCTGGTCCAGACTCGAATATTTACAAACCGCCGCCATATAGCTAAATATTGCTGAGTGCGGCTTAAAACAAACAAACAAAACCAATTGTAATAGGTGAAATATATATCATTTAAGGTTTTTAAAGCATTATATTTTTAGATAAAAATTTTAGATTAAATTTTCATGATTATATAAAGAGAGAAAATGCAATGTACTTAAACTAATATACGTGGAAACTGTCCTCATATTTGTGTACAATTTGTGTATTGTTTGTAGTTAATACAAGCGTGAAAGCCAAGGATAACCTTACATCAACCAAGCGAGATGGAGTTATTACGTTCGTCCGATAGCCCGTGCAGAAAATTGTGACAGAGAACCCAAAGTGTCTGCATTTGTTAGACTTAAGATTATGTCCCTATGGTTGTGAAACCATACATCCAGATATAGAGAGCGGTTGTGAAAACATACATACAGGCATAGAGAGTGGTTGTGAAAACATACATCCAGATATAGAGAGCGGTTATGAAAACATACATACAGGCATAGAGAGCGGTTGTGAAAACATACATCCAGATATAGAGAGCGGTTATGAAAACATACATACAGGCATAGAGAGCGGTTATGAAAACCTGATTTTCACATGACGATTTATATAATTGTTACCGCAATTACCTTCTACACCCAATGGGATCAGTTCAAATACAAAAGTCGAGACTGGTTAGTTTCAAGCATTGACGTGAATACATATCACGAATCCGTTTGTATATGACCAGATGGTGGCCACATGAATACGTGCAAACACCTACTTGTGGGTACAGCAACGCGCAGTAAACTTGGACAAAGTACTGTGACTATGTGTCCCAGCCCACACAGCTGTGGATGGGTACCTCGTAAGAATGGGAAAGCCACACTAACTCGGTGCGCCTAGTGGCAGCAAGAGTTGTATGAACCCCAGTTGAGATTGATAATACGACGTGCCGTTGGTATTGACATCCAGTGATCGAGGGAAAAAACAAAGCGCCTTTGAGCAGCTGAGCTGGATATCGGCGCTATAGAAATGTCTGTCCGTCTGAATGTCTGCATGTATGTAGTGTTGAGCATCTGTGTTATATGTGTCGAAAACAAAAAACAAAACACAAAACAACAAAAACTAATAACACCAGATCGGTTTGCAATGATTTATTGGTTCATAGTAGTGTGTTGAACATGTGCAGTGAACGTTATTATACTGCCGGGGAAACCACACACACTCGTAAAGAGCAATAACAGAACAACGATACAACAGTTTAACATACAAAACAACAACAATGACACAAATGAATGTATCAGATTAAAAACAGATCATTTCAACATACGTTATATTTGGGATTACACTTTCTTAGTAAAGTACAAATTCTAGTACTTTTGTTGGGTTGAACCCACACCCTCAGAGTCATTCACCTAATCGCCAGCACACAAAGTCAGACGCCTAGACCGCTCAGCCACCGCGGCTTCCACAAAATGGAAGTCGGACAACTGGTAGTCTAGGCTGCGGACTTTGTGTATCCCTCTGATAAGTGTTAATTAGCACGGCTCCCACCCCCGAAAGCTGTGAAATACAAAATGCCATTTAGAAAGTGGTCAAATGTAACATACGTTATATTTGGGATTACACTTTCTTAGTAAAGTACAAATTCTAGCACTTTTGGGGGTTGAGTCCCATCTGGGATTCGAACCGACACCCTCAGAGTCAGGCACCTAATCGCCAGCACAGACGCCTAGACCGCTCAGCCACCGCGGCTTCCACAAAAATGGAAGTCGGACAACTGGTAGTCTAGACTGCGGACTTTGTGTACCCCTCTGATAAGTGTTAATTTGGCACGGCTTCCCACGGCCGAAAGCTGTGAAATACACGTCTGACTTTGTATGCTGGCGATTAGGTGCCTGACTCTGAGGGTGTGGGTTCGAATCCCGGATGGGACTCAACCCAACAAAAGTACTAGAATTTGTACTTTACTGAGAAAGTGTAATCCCAAATATACCGTATGTTACATTTGACCACTTTCTAAATGGCATTGAGTATTTCCGATCATTTCAAGTTCATACGATGGATAGGTCAGGTAATATCTTTGTCCAACCGTACTTTCCTCCACTGTTACTATCACCCACTATGTCAACCCCTTCACATCCCTCTCACGGTACTGGTTTGTGAGTGAGTGAGTGTGGGTTTACGCCGCGTTTAGCAATATTGGAGCGATGTAACAACGGGGGAAACAGGCACTGAGCGTCCCCAGGCTTAATGAATGAATAGTAACCAACAACAAGAATCAAAAACAGGTGTTAATAAAAGTAGAAAATAGACAGAATTGTGTTACAGAAGTGTGTAAAGGCCTGTAATAGAAAAATATACTTTTTTGTCTTGAGAAACACAATACAACACATATAGTTGAATGCTGAGATTTATACACCGAGAAAGTAATAAATGACCGTTAACCATATATTCCCCTATGAAATAGCAATTCAATTAATATCCTACCCTGTGTCACTTCTCTGACAAAAAATAACTAAAACCAACCCCATTATTTTTATATTTAAAATGTAATATACCAATAAAGGAATATTGATAACGAAATAAATTGTCTAACGACGTCTTGTAAACCGCGATGAATATTTGACTACTCTTTCACCTGGTATAAACAGCTACCTTACAAAGAAAGTGTTCACTCCTATCTGAAGGTGGTTGAAATAAAAACAAGGAATGGATGTTCCATGGTGATATTTTTATATCTGTCTCATATGTTTTAAGTACTCATCTGCCTAGTACCGTTTTTATAACATTTGTAAGTTTTGGATTCATATCAAGTCCAAATGTCTCATATATACTTACTTTTGTCTGGCAGTTTGATTATTTCAAAACGTCTTGTGAAACACGTTGTTCTTGTATAAAATGTCAGCAGGTGTCGGCGGTATCTTAGGTATGTCTCAAAACAGAATTAATGCCCTTACAACGTACTGATATTTCAAAACATACACGCAAGATAAAGATTATGGAAATTTAAGGAACTATATTCTACTTATTTCCAGGTGCATATAAAGTACGTATAGTAGTTCTGTTGTGTCATTATATGGGCTATAAAAGCATTTTGCACCAAAGTATGCTATTCATTATTATTTTAAATATCCACTTAAGACCTATTAGCATGAAATAATCAAGTGTGCGTCGAATATCCGGCAGGCAAGAGCATATTGCTCTTATTGCTCTTGGAATGGAAAAGGCATCGAAACTAAAAGAACACATAGCTTAATGTCGAGAGATAAAAGATTTTAACTTTATTGTCAGCTCTTTTTCGTGTGCAATACCTATCCCAGCTCAGTGCCCTGGGGAAGCGCCTTATAATATTCTTTTGGGGTCTGGCATTGTTTGTTGGAAATGGATATATAGTTAGTTACTGCTTCAGAACAAAGAAGTCAGAAAATGAAAAATATCAGAACACATTTTTTTGGGACGTCCAGATCCTTACATCTGTTCTTGTATCCACCGAACCTTAATTAACTTTGGTGTCTATCCTCTAGCATCAGGTAACGTCAACTGTCGGATCTACATGAATCTGTCCTTATATCCCCTGAACGTCATCTCCAGTGAGGCTTACAATACCTCCAGTGACCACCTACTCATGTCTTTATCGACTACTTCAGTGGCAAGCCTACAGCATGTGCTTGAAGCTTCTATCCCATCTATTTGTATTTGAGTCCCATCAACCTCGTCTTCAGTTTCCATCCGGAAGGGAAATAATCCCTGATCCAGCTGTCTCAATAAGATCCCATATATGAACTTTAGCACAACAGCATCAAGTGTCTTATGTTCCATCTAGGTACTTAATCGCATAGATTTCACATCATGACTGTCACCCACGCGGCAGGAAAGAGGTGAACCGGGCAATGATCTGGTGTTAGTACTGGACAACGACCTAGTGTCAGTAGGTCGTCGTTATTGCACGGCAGCGTGTGGACGTTTTAATATTCCATGATAAGGTATGGACATATATTATAAAGGAGAGCCGCTTCTCAAATGCCTCCGATGTAATTTAATATAAATCAAGTGAGAGAAATGTCAGGATTATCAGAAATCAATATAAGGACCAAATTGCTGTGTTATTTTCATTAAGCCACACAAAATTAATGAATTCATCTCTGTCGCTTGATCATGAGGACATTGTTGTAGTCAATAGCATCAGCACCTAGTCACACAACTATAAGGCTTAAATCCATATGCTCAGTTGAATAAAACCTGCTAATGAACAAATACTAAATTCATTTTTCTCAAGCACTAATATTTACGAAGGAGCATCATCTTAACTGTCTGACGGAACAATACCCATGTTGTCAATCCGGCTAATGTCTGTCTTAATGATGTCAGTGTCAATGGTTTGGACACATACATTTTTTACTCCCCACTTAACAATAACGCACCTGTTTCATACTATCATAACCCAAATATGCAGCAGTATCTTTATACCTCATCTTATTCTACAATAGTAACAATCTCTGGTGGAAATGATAAATACTTTGATTTAAAAGCTATCACAGTCCCTGTACATGGAATATGTTGTTTTATCTTAAAAAACCCGTTATTGCTGAGTGTAAACAACGATATATTTCGTATTTGGTTTATATGTTCAAGATCGAAAATATTTTATCACTGTCGACATTACATCATGTCCTCGTTCAATCTGTATGATATAGATCTTATTATTCTATGTATGATGAACACAACAGTTAGGATTATGAATATTACAAGGATGTCTTATTGGTAGTGAGGACTGAGTACACAACTTATATATATGTCTCTCAGAATATACAACATCCCAATAATAGTGTCTGTTCAATACAAATACAAATGTTGTACTTAAGAGAATAACATTATTAACATTTAAACATTTAGTTACCAGCATGCCATGTACACTCTAGATCCAGTTTATGGCGTTTCAACAATATATTTGAAACATTGGCATCTCTTAATTTTCTATATTCAGACAATGTTTCACGTTTTTCAACGACATCACAGCTCCAATACACATTTGAATATGTGTGGGTTCCACAATGTTGATGGTATCATTCATCACATGCTAGCAAACAACGCTGTCATGCCGAATCTCTTGTCGTTCCACAACACGCACACAAACAGACAGTTTACAGGCACTTGTATCCGCCGTGTGTAATCCTTAAGAATAGTAAAATACATAGTTTCTTTTATGGTAGATAGATTATTACAATGAGCCAAGTTGATGCTCCAGAGTAGAAATGCTTCACCAGCATATCGCATATGACAGAAATCTTTTAATATATACTTCTTTACATTAACAAAATTATATTTTAATGAGTTAAAATATATGTGTGAATTGAGAAAGCATTGTTAATTTAAGCAAACCTAGAGGGATGTGTCAGTTAATGCGTGCGTTGAATTAATTAAAATGTGATAATCTGCTTTCATTGCCCCTTCTGTTCGGCTTAGTTATGTATATAAGCCCGAGCGTCATTGAATGATACAAACAGTTCTAGATTTCAGTACAATTAAAAACATCTGATGGAGGTTAAAATGAGTAATACCGCCTCAGTTGCATCAATCTACGTCAACGTAATAAGGAACAGTACAAGTCACGTATAACAATCTGGCAAGACACATGAGCACAAATTTGGTGCTGACAGACAAAGATAACAGAACGAACCTCAACCCGTGGAATCTGGAAGGGGACACAACTCTGCACGATTAGTGGCGATTTCCAAGCTGAACGGTTTCTTAATGCGAGTATCGACTGATACAACATTGGGTAGGTCGTTGTGGTCAATGTGTTGGATAGTCACTTGTTACACATAACAAAGGTTGTTCTTGGGCATAAACCAAGTTAAAACTGCACCATTGAATCAGTGAGCAAATGTTCTGAGAAGTGCAATGAGGATATCAACCATTAACCCACAAGTTCACAAATTGTGCTCACATGCAAAATTACAATGAGATAATACGAAGGATTGTCCATAAGCAAAAACTCTTCAGTTAAGCCAAAAAACACATGCTTCAGTTGAATATGTCTGCCTTGCCACGTTCCAGCACTTGAAAGGTTGTACAACGAATGATCCACATTAAGCAAAACGTATTCCTTATGCCAATAAACACATGTTTCTGTTGGTATCTCTGCCTTGTCGTTTTGTAGCACTTGAGATGGTGGAAATGAATGACAGAAGAAACGATAGATAATCCATAAGGAAATATTCATTTAAGCCAAAATCGCACGCCTCGGCTGGTATCCCTGCCTAGCCACTTTAAAAAAAATTCAATCTTCTATGACTGAAAAGTCGACGGATTGTGCTTCTTAAGCAAAACGTATTTCCTCATGCCAATAACCACTTGCTTCAGTTAGTATCACTGCCTGGCCGTTCTGCGGCACTTGACAGGGTTATAATGAATGTCCGAAGAAGCGGTGGATGAGCCACATAGAAAATCCATATTCGTTATTTAGGATGATTAACACATAATCTTGTTATCCAATTACTTTCTAGCACTTGGTAGGGTTGTTAAGAATTACTATGACTGAAAAGTAGACGGATTATCCACCAGCAAAACGTATTTTGTTATGCCAATAAACAAATGCTTCATTTAGTATGTGTCCGTCGCAGTTCAGTAGCACTTGAAAGTGTTGTAAAACCCATAGGAGTCGATGGATGACAAAGAAGCTGTAATGCATTCGTTATGCAGTGAAACACATGCTTTAGCTGATAACTCAAAGATATGCTGTCCTTATGCTCAGTGGTTTGAATAAGCCATTCCTTAGGTAACGGTCATTGCTATCGTGGAGTATTTGTAATGTACAAAAATAGAGTTCTCTGCTGGTCTTCTGCGTCTACTTCTGCTGAGAAGGTTTCACCCACAGTTTCTGTACTGCATATGCAACGAGGAGTGTGAGCAGTTCCAATACACAGAATCCCATCAGGCCATAGCAAGCAAATATTTGATACACAGAAAACATGTATACCGTCTCGTTGCACCAGTTCATGGGCTCGTGTAAGGGCTGGACAAAGTTAGGTTTCCACACCTGGAAGATCCACACGTTGCCGAGAATGAACCACGACAGCAGGAATATGGTGAGGATGTATCCGCTGAACCGCAAGCTACGTGACATCACAATGTCGTCGGTGTCGTCGTCAGCACAGTCGTCCAGACGCTCGTAGTCACGGGACTTCTTCTGCCTCCATAGCAACAGCAGCATCTTGAGGAGTCCGAATCCTCCCCCAACGAGAAGGTAGATGGGAACCTTGGGTTCACGGGGACAGTCTACTCGGTGAGAACCTCCTGCAGAAAGGAAATGATCAGTTGTAAATACGTTCATTGCTTATTTTTATATCGTATGCACGCAAGCTACGTTAGTGTTCATAAACATGTTACAGGGTAAAATGTTCTTGCAAGTACATTTACGGACTGATCATGTAACATTCTGAAGGTGGGTAAGCCAAGGGTGTTCAATCTAGCCGTTGTTATTATAATAATGACGGTGCCAGGATCCCAAGTATATATTTGGATCTCCTTAATTCTTCTCTGAAAGCATTAGCATTTGAATTGGCGAACGTATACAGGAAGATATTTTATACTGCTTATTTTATGGATATAGCTCTCCTCTTCACTGAAAATGTATTACGTTTCTGTTTGTTTGCGTATTGTTTAACGCCATACTCAGCAATATTCTAGCAATATGCTGGGCTGTAAATAATGGAATCTGGACCAGAATGTCCAATGACTGATGAGTCCATGAGCATCAATCGACGCAGTTGGGATACAGTGACATTCATCATCTACGTCAGCGAGCCTGACCACCCGATCCCGTTAGTCGCCTCTTACGACAAGCATGTGTTGCTGAATACCAGTTCTAGCCCGGATCTTCACGGTTTATGAAGCTTCGATGTAAACTGACACTGCCTATAGCAACTGGGCACACACATGTTCCTCGTAACATTATGCTCTATAGGTCGACAATTTACGTGTAAATATTACATATTAATAATTTACTATAACAAGCAAATGGATGTTACAGAGTAATTAGTAAAAACACTGATAGAACGTTGTATTTTCTATAACGACCATACGGTATACACACTGTACTCTTCTGTAATCTCTACACAAAGCAGGGATATATTTGATTTCACTCACCAATGACAATCATGGCGATGGGTAGGCCAGTGAGTGACACCAAGAAGATGGTCATCAGCCCTTGAAACAGACAGATTCTTAATAAATATACTCCCATAATTGAACACTCATTTAACAAAACAGCAAAATGACAAAACATCGTGGAAAACAGCAAACTATTAAAATCCTTATGTACATTGTCGGCATTGAATTCAGCAAGACACCAGTCACAGAATGACGCAACTGACAATTTGACAAATTGCTGAGTGTGCAAAATGTTTAATGACTCAGTGTTAGGTTATACATATACATGGACATAACTCTCGAATAAACATGATTCGTACATCTCTAGGTTCACAATACAACTTCTAGATAAGGACATTACGAACGTTAAAAATGTTGTTTATTCTGAAAAATATGTTTTTATTTGTAATTTGTTTATTTTATATGATATCTGCAGCAGCCAGGTTTTCCCCCAATAGGATTATGAAACGACATTTTAAAATTACAAATGCATTTCCATACTTTTAAGAAAATTTCTGCAAATACAGGGCCAATTGTGCGATTCCGACTCCCTGCTCTAACTATGACGCCCGTCACAAACACATGCGAAGGTATGTCAAGCATCAAGATATATAGGGAATTGCAAAATATTTGGTTCAGTCATCTTAATTGATGAGTAATTAGTTTTGTGAAAGTTTACCTTAAAACATTTTGGAGGTTTACAGCTTTTGACGTAGAATCAAGCATGCTCTTTTTACCATGAAGTTCTTGGATCAAGGTTACAACTTTCAAGGCCTCGGTAAAAAGATTTATGGTAGACATGTGGAGGTTATTTCAAAATTGGACGCATCAGTGACAAACATTATGTCCCAGCAATTCAATATTATGACTTGTACCACACATTCTCGATTATTATCAGGTGAACAGTTGACAAGCCTTTGCATGTGTTTATGACGGGTGACAGGTGTGGCAGGATAAGCTCACCTTTTCGCGAACACCTGATATCATCACTATTTGATAGTGATTCATTAGCACATGGCCTGTTGGCGTATTTCATGATGTCAATCACTGTATTGTTTGATGCAAACTCGATTGTTTACAGACCGTACCGTACAATTTCTTTGTGTGGCATTTTATAAGTTGGAAATTACAATATAAAACAAACTTTATGGATAACAACTTCTTTCATTCATGAGTGCGACGTTTCGATACAGATTCTTGTACCGTTGTCAAGCATAAATGGGACATGAGGGGGGGGGGGGGTGTACAGCTATAATACTGGTGGATGCGGTATCAAACAAACACACAGTCATGACATAGTCAGACTTGTACCATCGACTATGCTTTCAGCAAAGATTTCTTTGTCGTTTCTACTGAATATTTTAACGCTGACAGAACGCTGATGCTCTTTGAAATCTTCTTAGAAAGAGTATGCTTTCATTTGACTGCCATAGTATCATATAACGACCGGATGTTATCACCAATGTAATGGTTTGCTATGAAATGTACCCGATCGTCATTAATAAGTTATAGTAATAACGTATAACTCTTTCAGCTACACCGGATGCTGTTCAAAAGAGGTATTGATCTCCAGTTTGGGTGTATCTCCCTTTTGAAAATTAGTTATCACACCAGTCACTTGAGTAATAGATATTTCATCCAGTTCAAAAGCATGATGTAAACATCTCAATATATATTAAGATATATCGATCCGAAAGAATATAAAGAGTTCAGCTGAACAGCCATTTGCATTATATATTATCTCTTATTTGCTCTTAATGGGTTTTTTAAACCTTGGATCGCTTTATGGCATGTCCACAAATATGTCAGGGAACTGCAAAAGATTCTGTAAACATCTTCAGAAGCCAATAAAATATGTTGTACCAACTTCACTGGAGGAGAATAAACTTCATACAACTGTTGCGTCTAATATTATATCATTAGTGTATGTATGAAGTGTCATGAGGCAGTGTTACACATTATACTTGTAGGGGAAGCGGTGTGCCATATTTATACTTGTACTATATTTAGACAGAGTGCTGGAATGTACTAGAACCTTCCTCTGATGCAGAGAACAAAATGGAAATTTCTAGAAACTATTGTTTGTGTATAAGAAATGTAGTTACTGATTTTGTTCCTCCTTATCTAACCATTTCCTTTAAAACGTTACATATTGCATCCATTTTCTTCTTCGTACTTTAGGGGCGGTGGGGTAGCCTTATCGTGAAAGTGTTCGCTTGTCACGCTGAAGACCTGGGTTCGATTCCCCACCTGGGTACAATGTGTGAAGCCCATGTCTGGTGTCCCCTGCCTTGATATTGCTGGAATATTGCTAAAAGTGGCGTACAACTAAACTCACTCACTCTTCGTATTTTAAAACCAATTTGCTTTGTCTGAAGTCTCCAAGGAGGCCCGTTTCCCATATTACGTTCCTTCTTGACAAAACATAAATATGTTATAATGGTTCACTCATTATCTCCAAAATAAGTAATGTCTCTTTAAAAGATGATAACCGGTGCTAAAATTAATCTCTGTCACATATGTTTATTACCTGGGGCAAAGTATTACATTCATATACATGTATGCAAATGTAATAAAGCGAAACTCATTTTTAACCATTTTAAAAATTCATTAATTGAAAGAAATACTTTACATAGAAAAAAAATCCATGCAATAATTCTATTTTGTAAATTTAATGGGCAATGTATGTTTGTTTGATGACTACCTTTAAGTAGTCTTCACATACTATTGTATTTTGCTCTATATAGATGTATGTACTATTCCAGTTGTCCCGTAGTCTCCTGTCATAGTGGATGAGGTCATGGTACTCACATATGAACTATAGGTATCTCTAAGTTTGTGTTTGCTTTTATCGGTTATCAGAAAAAATAGTTTCATCTGAATCCCTATATTTTAAATTCATTCTGCCACAGTCACCCGTTACATACAAGCATTCATCACGTGGGTGCTGCTGGAATAAAAAAAAAATATTATAGAAAAAGGAAATAAGATGATCGATTATGTGTAAAAAAATGTGAAATGTCAACATCAAAGGATGGAGCTACTTGAATGTATAACGACATAAAGAGAGACATGACTATTGAAAAGTGGACCTGACACTGCCAAGGTTTAGTAAAAGGTAAAGTACGCGAAGGGAAAAGTCTGACGGGCGTTGAAATGGTAGAGTCATAGTTACATTTATGTTTTTATCATCCAACCGAATAAATAGATTAATATGAATAAATCATCGCAACTGAGCACGATCTTTATTCAGTAAAAGATGTAGCTTGATTTTAAAATTGAACAATGAAATTAAGGCTCCTCAATACGAACAAATCACGCGTTATGGAGCGGTACCTCACTGTCTCACGTGTGACACTAGATATCTAGGACCCACCAAATCCCAGTTTAAGACAGATTGTCTAACTACGCAGAGTTGTACTTGGGTAAAAAAAGAATCAAACCTCATATTTCAGACCGCCTCCGTGGTGTTGTGGCCAGGCGTCCGCCCGGAGAACGGAAGGTAGCGAGATCGATCCCCGGCCGCGCCATACCAAAAGACGTTCAAATTTGGTACTTGTTGGTCCCTGCCTGGCGCTCGGCATTAATGGGTACACCAAGAACTGGTCGGCTCGGAGTCAGTATAATGTGTCTGAGTGGGATATTCATGCTTAATTGCGGCATGGTATCTCAGTGAGCAAGCACTTTAAAACCAGCTTAAGTCTGGGCCAGTACAAGCAGCCACATACACACGCATGCGCGTTGTCATATGAGCGAAATATTCTTACGACGTTAAACCCCATTTCATCTCACCTCACCTCAAATGTCAGATCCCTTTCCAATTGCTTCTTTAAATGTCTATGACACTATTTTTAATGTGATTTATTGATTGTCTTATACATATATTATTTTTATTAGATATTCAAATTGCATCCGACCGGATGATGTTATAATATATAATGGCAGTTGAAAATAATTTTCCGTCGAGACTATCATCAGAAATAGAGCAACTCCTATCCTTGGACTTGATAAAAGTACACACGTGTTTCAATATAAAATTATAGACATGAACACATTACACGCTTCGTAGATATATAACACGTTGTAAACTAATACAGAAAAAATGTCAAGGTGAACCTATGTTTCAATCCAATACAAGTACCCTAATCAATATAGAATTAAACAAACCATGTCCATAGACAACCATAGAATAATTACCAACATATGTTGCTTACGCAAAAATAGCAAAAGACACGTAGAAGGAGCTGAATTCGTTGATTCAGCAATTCTTATGGAAGACTGTTATGGATGTTATATGCAGCATCTTTCGATAAGGTGCACGGTCATTCAGTGAGATAGTGCTTGATCGTTTAGGAAAACTTATCAAACAGTATTTTAGAACCGCACATGGAGTTTTTTCATCAAGTACATTAACCTGTATTTTTACATGTTTCAGAGCATGACTCTTAACCCACACACAGTTCATAATTTAGTATAATGCTTATTGATTATCTCATATGTGATTGTCAGAACACGAAGCAGATCAATAACATACATACTGGCGTCATTGTGTAACTTGAAGGTTCATGATTCATATATACGAATTTTTCAAACTGACTATCAAACCGTTTCATGTATAGGTACTTTAACGGTTTTGCAACACGATAGGTATAGAATCAATCAATATTAATAAACTCATATTCACGGTATATTCATCAATGTTGTACGTTTGGGGGTATACTGTAAAGAAATGAATGCTGTGTGAAAGGTATAATTTCTAGTGTAAAGTTCTTGTACGAAGGTCATGTTGGATCTGGTGTAAAGACAAATTGTTGTGCAACGGTCATTTGCAGGTCCGTGTAAGACATGTTGTATGAAGGCCATGTGAGGGGTTGGTGCAGAGACAAGTTGTTGCACGAAGGCCAGTTGGGGGTTGGTGCACAGATAAGTTGTTTCGCGAAACCATTTGGGAATGGGTGTAAAGACAAGTTGTTGCACGAAGGCCATTTGGGGGTTGGTGCAAAGACAAGTTCTTGCAGGAAGCCATTTGGGAATGGGCGTGAAGACAAGTTGTTTCGCGAAGGCCATTTTGGAGTTGTTGTACGAATGTCATTTGGGGGTCAGCTGTAAAGACGGGCTGTTGTACGTAGGTTAATTACGGGTCTGTGTAAAGATAATTTGTTGTACGAAGTTCGTTTATGCGTGGCGTGGCGTGGCGTGGTGGTGGCGTAAAGACAAATCGTTGGTGGTAACCGAGTTTCACATTAATGACAAAACATTTGTTGAAGGACACTGAGATTCATTTGCATTAAACCCCGTCAAAGATTATGTCCAATCGCAAAGAATATTGGGTTTGGTAATATACATATTGCACAGACTACGATAATCTAGTTAAGTAGACATTTTGACGACATAATAGCGTGGTTATGTATGTGGTGTGTATGCTGAGATTTGGTATAAATAGATCAATATATCTCGTGTTTCAGATTACAAGGTGCCTGCCTCGTAGTTCCTCACTCCCAGCCTCCGTGCCTTGACATAGAACGTCACGATTATCTTCATGTCCTTCGTAGTCCATTCCGCCGTTACTGACAGTATGGGACAAGATACTTTGGAACCTGGTCAGAAAGACCTTCTTAGTCTTGCCACCTTAGAAGTATTTTCTAAGCTTAGAAATTACCAGAATAATCTGCGAAATATGTTAGAATCTGGTTCAGAAATACCGAGTAAGACATGCAGCATCATGTAAGATTTGCAGCATTCTGTACGATATTTACCAGAGTAAGATATGTAACAATTAGTTAGATATGTAACGTTGTTTAAGCTATATAACACAAAGTAAGATATGTTCATGGGCGACGCCGAGTAAGATATGTAACAATGAGCAAGATGTATCTATCAACCAATTGTTCTAAATGAATTAGTTCTATTTGCAATAGTCCTTTTCTCATGTCCGTAATGACATGTACATGTGAAGTAGCAAAAGTATAGAGGTATATATCAAGATTAATCAATATATATATACGTATATATATATATATATATATATATATATATATATATATACGTCTGTCTGTGTGTGTGTGTGTGTGTGTGTGCGTGTGTGTATTAACTTAGTGATTAAGTTAGCCAAACTAGCTTGTACCTTTCACCGAGTAATTACAATAAGATATGTTCTAATTTTCAAACAATAAATGTAGTGTACATGTATATTCAATTGTTCTCGTGGGTGTTTTAAGAAGCATGAAGAATCTGAACATAAGTAATCTATAATTAATCAAAACGATAATTCTTGAAAGACTTCAAATATATCCAAATCGAAGTGACTTGAAAATCTGCAATGCCACGATCTGAACCAAGATGGCGTACCATTAAGAAAGCCATTTCACAAACTATTGTTTTCAATATAAAGCACAAAATGTTATCTGTGTATGAATTATGTACAACCTGTCCCTCTGTATTAAGTACAACTAAGATGAATGTTTATCTAAGGCACATCTGACGCTAATGGTGCCGCTATTGATTTGGTTCTGACAAACATACACAAAATAATCAATATCCATCAAAATGATGTATATGTTCCAGTTAAATAATACTTAACTGACAAAATATTACTTTTTTATTCATACCTCGCCATGACTAGGGCAGACATGAGATGTACCGGCATAAATAATATATTCATCGCATTTCTTGGGTCAAGGATGCCTGCTGACCATATCCTGGCCGGTAGGTAGGGCATATGGAAACGATTTAGGAGCTTGTTCGGGTTTTCAAAAAGGTATATTGGTGACTGGTAAATGCTTGTTCGAGTTGCATTAAACTACGGTTATAACGAACTCTAAAATGCCTCTCAAAGAAATCTAAAGAGCCACTCATTTTAATTCGTATAACTATAGTTTGTTATACGCATTTCAACGATTATACACAAGTGTCTGGGACCAAAACCGCAGTTCGTTATATCCGTCAATTCGATATAACCGTGTTCGTTATAAGCATAGATTATTATAATTACGCGTATCACTTTTTTGAGCTACTATAATATACATTATTGTTGTTTAACCTAATATCATGTTACAGTATTACCATGCTGTTTAAGCAATTGTAACACATCATCCTGCTCTATATGCTTCATAATACACCATCTTACACCTCAAGCTATTGAAATAGATTAACTTTCAGTTGAATGAGTGAGTGAGTTGAGTTTTACGTCGCTCTTAGCAATATTCGAGCTATATGGCGGCGGTCTGTAAATAATCGAGTCTGAACAATCCAGTGATCAACAGCATGAGCATCGATCTACGCAACTGAGATGCGATGACATGTATCAACCAAGCCATCGAGCCTGACCACCCAATCCCTTTAGTCGCCTCTTACGACAAACACGGGTTGCTAAAGACCAATCCTAACCCCGATCTTCGAGGGATTCTTTCAGTTGCAACGACGGTTATTTACTTATAATTTATCCTACTGTATAGATTACGCTACTGTAATTTATATATAAAACGCAATAACTTACATGAATTCCAGATAATGTCGAATGCCCGACCGAGGAACTCACACGGGTCTTCAGATTCCTCGTTCACTTCTTGGAGCTGATGGAAGATTGAGCCATAGAAACTACCGCCACCGTTGCCATACTGATCCCCGTCGGAGAATTCGCTGGTGCTTCTACATAGGCTCTTTTCGTCGTCGAGTGTCTGCAGATTTCAAGAGAAAGAATGATTGAGTTGGGCTTAACGCCGGCTTCGAGAGTATTTTTATTTATTTATTTTCAGTTGTGTATGGGTGGCGGCGTGCACGCGTGTTTACAGTTTACGGTCTACATGGTCACAGTCTGTATGTTATGTATGATAAACGGTCATATTCTGTCACAGATGGACAATAATCTATGTCCAAGGCTGTGAAAAGGGAGTAAGTCAATTTCATTATATAATATATTAACCTTGAGGGTTGCATCTTCCCCAAGCTTGTTTCAACTGTGAAACTAAAGGCAGCCCTTGAAGATGATACAGTCAAACACTTACGCTTGTCTCGAATTTAAGGTTTGGTCCCTGCGTATTTAATATTAAATCGTTTTGCCGTTGTCCCAAACCTGGGATAACTCGAAATATTTACGTAGGTCCCGTCAACTTCGACACAACGGTTTTATATATACTACCCATCAAAAGTTTAGAGTCACTTAAATCACTCACTATCACTACAAAAATGACTTGGTTTCCTGAAACCTTGAAACCATCCGTATAGCGGGTAATTGGGGAATCCAGTTGGTTTCCATTCACTGAAACTGAGTAACTGAGTTTCCAACTAGATTCCATTTTGGATTCTTTGATTTTTGCATTTCTGAAAATGGAAACCAACAAGAAACTAAGGTTATAGGTTTCTTGTTGGTTTCCATTCCTGGAATTTGCAATTGAAGTTTCATTAAATGGAAACCAACATAAAACCAGAATATGTAGTTTCATGTTGGTTTCCTGTGCACTGTTTTGAACTAAGTAACTTCAAATATGCAACTATTTGGCATGTAGTTGACCATCCTGGCATCCAGTTGGTACCCTTTCATTGAAACTGGGTAACTTAGGTTCCTAATAGAATCCATAATGGATACTGTAAACTGATAGTTCCGGTAATGGAAACCAACAAGAAACTATAGTCATGTGTCTACTGTTGGTTTCCATTCCTGAAACTTAGTTTCGAAGATTAACTACTTTCATATCATATTACATTATCAGTAATTGCGTAGAATAATTATGAGGTCATGCATCATGCCTCTGGGATCTGGAAACCTCCTACGTATAGCCAAAACCACACACGAAGTAACTACACGTCTGTTTCCATGACCAGGTTTGATACTTGAAGACAACTGTGAATGAGTAATCACCTTGGAAACCCAACGGATTGGGCACAAGTTATCCAACTTAAATAAGCCCTCTCCACTGTGTAGTGGATGGGCCAAACGTTTACACTGTAATTTCACCTGGTCATGGAAACAGACGTGTAGTTACTTCGTGTGTGGTTTTGGCTATACGTAGGAGGTTTCCAGATCCCAGAGGTATCTACATAGGCTACAAAGCAATGTAAATAAATCATTTTGTATATTTTTTATGTTTTGTATATATTTTGTATGTTTTGTATATATATTTTATGTATATATTGTATGTTTTGTATATATATTGTATGTTTTGTATATATATTTATTGTCGTGTGTTTTATAAATTGAATCTTAATGAAATATTAATATTATGAAAGTTGTTGATTTATTTCTTAATCCTTGATTGAAGTGAAACCAATTGTTGTAACAACAATAACTCCACAGGTCATAAATCAGGTCGTTTCAGATGTATCGTGTATGTAGAGCATGTCACGTCGAATGGGGAAGAGGAGAAATGCAGTTGTCACGTCCTTTTCCCCAACATCCAAAATCACTGTCATTGTGAAAAAAGAAAGACCATAGCAGCAATGATGTTCTTCCGCACATTGTCGAGAGTGGAACCTGGGTCTTGAACGTTTCACGGTTTTTATAATAATGCTCCCCTTACGCCGTTTTGCTAATACCCAAGACAGTCAGTGATCTGGATATCTTGTTTCAATGTCGGATCACACGAAGCGAAAGGTCAGACATGTCTAAACTCGAGTCTCAACGAAGTAATTTTAGCTTCCTTGGGGACCAGCCCCGACCCTGCATAACGCGGCTTAAATGGTTTGTTACTTGAAGACAACTGTGAATGAGTAATCACCTTGGAAACCCAATGTTGCGCCCTCCTATTTCAGGTCTTTTCACCAGTAGCCGTGATGAAAATAAGGAACCAACGATGATTACTCTAGAACAACGAGTACAGCAAATTGTCCAAACCGAAATCGTGTTATTCCGGATCTCAATACCGACCAGATTTAACGTCCCAGATTTAAGGCTTTAATTCATCAATAAGTATAATCGCATTAGTATACTGATAATCATTGTATTCGAGCAAACGGCTTGCTAGACTTCTTTCATATAATCTACAAACATCTCGGAGCTGACATTTCAAAATATTTGACCAAAGAAACGAATCTTTTCGATATTTGGAGTTTATTCAGCAGGCTAACAACTCACTAATCCGGGCTTCTGGCTAAAGCGTACAGAAGTGTAGGACCATACGTCCAATTTAGACGTCTTCAACAGGACCGCCTCCGTGGTCTAGTGGTTAGAGCGTCCGCCCGGAGAGCGGAAGGTCGCGGGTTCGATCCCCTACCGCGTCATACCAAAAGACGTTAAAATATGGTACTTGTTGGTCCCTGCCTGGCGCTCGGCATTAATGGGTACAACAAGGACTGGTCGGCTCGGAGTCGGTATAATGTGTCTGAGTGGGATATACATGCTTCACTGCGGCATGGTATCTCAGTGGGCTAGCACTATAAAACCAGCTTCAGTCTGGGCTAGTACAAGCAGCCGCACATACACACACGCATGCACGTCGTCATATGAGCGAAATATTCTCACATCGACATGAAATAATATGCCTAGATTGTAGAGAATGGGTGTCTGGGCCGGTTAAGTAAATGGGAGAGTGAGTTTAGTTTTACGCCGCTTTTAGCAATATTCCAGCAACATCACGGCGGGGGATACCAGAAATGGGCTTCACACATTGTACCCATATGGGAAATCGAACCCGGGTCTACGGAGTTACGAGCGAACGCTTTAACCACTAGGCTACCCGACCGCCCCCTGAAGTAAATGAATCGACTGGGAGGTGGTAACATGATCTTCATACAGTGGCGGATACAGTCGACTCAATCACCAGCCTATGCTATTGCTTTGTTGCATATACCATCATCCCAGATAACAAAGAGACCACTGCAGACTCATCATGTGTTTAGTGCCATAACTTGATGACGACTGTTACTTCAGTTTTGGTTCATTCTTGCATTTTTAATGCGACACAGATACGTGTGTTCCTTCCTATTCACGTCGGAATTCAATTAATTGACCAAACCATTGACAAAGATCAAGTAATCTCAAATTGAAAATTGATTAAAGATTTATCCAACCTGTTTCTCTATGGGCTTTGAATATTAAACGCCAGGACGTGAACGGGACACTGTGGCAGAGAATACCTTTACCTCGTTCATTGATCCGGCATTCAACGGCTTTTGATATAATAATTGGCATTAGCAGGGCCTGTCGCCAGCTGCGTGGCGGGCTGGGCTGATACGTTGTCTCCCAGATGATTATGTGGAGTGAAAAATGAGGCAAATAAAATTGTTTCCTTTGGTGGCGTAATACGGTGCTGACTTATACGTGGTAATGGCGTCTTTGATCTGACATATGAATGAAAACGTGTGGCTCTAGGTACCTTAGACTTCACTCTGTCACTATGAATTACAGTCTGTTAGCTGTTTGTATTTGAAGGCTAAAATCCACGAGAAAAATATCAAATGATGGATGAATATCAAAAGATGATTGACAACAGATGATTGTGTTTGAATGACTTTTATGTTTTAGTTAGCTTTGGCTTTTCTTTTCTTTGTTGTTTTACGTCCCAGACAACACCATTGGTCTACAAGTATAACATGGCCACCTTTTGATGTTCGTGTCTTGCTCGACAAACAAGTGGTTGATATCATAAGCAACGCCCTTGGGATTCGGGATATATAATTATTATGAAACTGAACCAAGTCACCACATGTGATCACCCGGCTAATGTTTGTCTGAAAAAATTGTATTGTGACTATACATCCCTCATTTAATGATCATTCTAGTTATACCGAGGTATATTTGTAGAGCAGGTACCCTCTGACAGCAAGAACTAACAGAAAACGATCCTTATGGACAATAATCTCACACATAATCCTTATTGGTGAAGTACCAGTTTGGATAAAAGATAATTTGGACCCGATGGAAAATTCATTCAAATTCAAAAGTTATTGAATTCTCTAAACTATTCGAATGAAAGTCGAAATCAGATGTCTTAAATTATATATATGGTTGACAGTTATTGTTTAGTATACCTACACGTTTTGGAGGGTAGCCACAGCCTACGTATGCTGGCAAGTTATTTTGGACGGGCATTTGTCGGTGTATACTTCAAGACATGTCATTTTGACGTCTCAAAAGGGGGACGAAAACAAAATATAAATTTTCAGGACAAGCAACAATGCTCAGCAAACCCGACCTCAATATGTGTCCAGTATTTCCTAGAACACAAAATATTCTGAACCCTATGCTAAAAGCAACATGTTTCAGAGATTCTGGAACATTATTGTAGATCCTCCTAAGAATTACCAATGAATCGATAACAAAACCTCTGGACCACAAGTGCCTCCTTGTGATATTGGTAACGTTTGCGAACCTGCACCATTACTTACAATAAAATGCAGCTGCGCTTCATTAGGAAAATTGCTTCCATATGTTAAGCAACATATAGAACTAACATTGACGCAGTTACGTCAGAAGTGTTAAGACATAAAGATGCAATATATACATAATTCATTACGCCAGCAATATGTGTCTCGACTTCAATAAGATCGTTACTTCGAAGTGTAAAACAAAACAGGGACCAACAGGGACAGAGGCACATTTGTTCAACCATCTGTAACTAACAGTCTTTCACAAAGTTACGGCTGTTGGTACTTACGATAAATACTACTCGATAAGTATTACACAGTGCCCTCTTGTGACATGTCATTAAACGACAAATGTCTTATCGATTTCTCGAATTCC